GGTAACACGACATGGAAATGGAGATAATATGATAATATCTCGTAATGGCCTGACACTCGAATCTCGAGTGGAAAGAAATTTTTATCTCGAAATTAGTTTCGCTTCAGCAAGAGTGTTTAAATACTCTCTGTTGATATCGATCATTTTCAAATTGGAGTAAATACTTTCAAACGCAAGAAGATGCATGAAGAAAAAGGTTCTTAACAACTGTGTTACTACCGTGTCAATTAAAAGAGCGATCAAGAAGAAACGCGTACGTGGAAATCACAATTGCAAACGAGATTGCGCAGCAAACGTGTCAATAATAAACTTTTAAATCTCACGCAACATTGGCCAAGTTGTCGTCAGCGTTGCAATATTCAATAACGAGTAAATGTAGACTCATTTTCATTCCCATAGTCTTTTATTAAATGAAAATTAAGCGAAATTACGGGGAAAGGCAGCAACGTTGAATATTTACGATAGTTCTAAAAGTATTGGCAAGTATCCTTGCATTTCACCGAAGCGCTTCTTTCACTTTATAGAAATTTTCTGTGGCCGTACGAAAGATATAAAATTTAATGCGAAAATACTTTTCAATTAATTAATTAATTAAGGTGTCTAGTGCAAGAGAGAGCCCACAAAATATCGAAAAATGATATACTTATTAATTCTGACATCTCCTGATAAAATTAATATCAAGTATCAACATTTTAGATAAGATTTAATAACTAACCTTTATCTAAAATTACATGGCAAAATATTTGATATAATATTGTAACTATGTATACGTATATTATAAATATTTATCTTTCTAGTGTGGTATAATTTCTAAGCCACGTATTATCTCAGTCTAATGGTTTAGCAATTATTGTGTTCCATGATTTCTATAAGAAACTCAAATGTAGGTCAAGAAACTATATAAGAACAAAATTTAAATTGGATACTCGTAAGATCATTCGTTATTTATAAAATAACGTCGTACACTTTCATGGTAAGTAATATTTGTAATGTTGCTTTTCAATAAAATTTTCATATTTAAACGTACAAAAACAAAAAAAAAAAAAAATGAAAAAAGATACACTGTTTCTATGTTAATAAATTAAGATGAAAGAAATTCTAATACTTTCGATAAAAGTCTCAAGTATCTGAGATACCGTTAGAATTGTTGATTAACTCTCTCCTTGAATCCCTCAATTAGCATACAAATGATGCGCCAATACTTTTCGCGCTGCTAATATATAACATAAAAGAAAAGTTGAAACGACGACGACGAAGGAGAAAGAGATTCAGATTACCTTTTTCTTCTGGAGGTAGGTCATCCTGGGACTCGTGATCGTGGCAAGGAACCGGACTCGGTGCATCGGCACTTCCGCCTTTTGTCCGACCTTCCCCTTCCACCGGTATCCACAGCTGTTGGCCGGGGTAAATGAAAGTACTTCCGAGCCTGTTGAATTTGCTCAGCTCGGATGGCGTTGTGTCGAATCTCGCAGCCACGGACGTAAGTGTGTCCCTGTCGCTCACCTGGCACCACAGAAAACGTACACATGAATTGCACGATTATCCGGTGTAATTGAACAGACAAGTCTAATAAGGGAGGACGAGTGATTCTCCATTGTCCGAGGCTAATTACATAGGGTGAGGTGAGGACGACGGTGGACATAAAAATAGATCACGGAGAGCATTCATTGTGTTGTTTAATGCATAAATTGAGGTTTGTTCAGATCAATAAATTTTTTTAACTTTCAACGCTTAACACGTTCCGTGCCAAGCCATTTTTGCCTGACTCGTCGTTCAGGCCCTTTGATATATTATCACACAATCTTTCATTACATCATCAATCGATAAGTAGTTTCTTGTTTTCTAGAGTAGAGTTATCACATCGTGTATCCACTTGTGGTAATATTATTAGATATATGGTGGTACACGTGGCCTGAAGATTAAGTTTAACGTGTACCACCGGTGGTACACACGGCACAGAACGTATGTTAATGATTGTCACGTGATTTTTAATAATTGAATTTCGATTTTTAACATTCCAAGGTATCC